TTACTAATATATTATACCACAACAATGATTTTCGTATCTACATATTTAAACAGTAGGTAATCGCTACATGTATTCGACAAAACGTGTACATTGTTTAATATAACTGACGATTCCCTGAGCACCAACTCTTCTTTAAGATAATGTTTACATGGTTGGTCAGTCATGATGATAGGGAGTTGTAGTCTATTGCAGAAATGGTGTAAAGGTAAATTACACAAAATAAACGTTTAACTAATCAGATAATCAATAACTGCTAATGATTGACAACTTTCAATAAGTTTCACCATAGATCGATATGCTAACTGTATCCTTATTAATGCAACGATGGTATCTATAAATAAACTGTCTCGTTAAGCATTTTATTGTGGAAAATATATTAGAATTATTATGGTGGAAAGGAGATTTTGGAGAATTTTTGAAACATCAACTTCTATACTAAGTGAATGTGAATTTTGTATTGGACAATTGGTACTGTTTTTAGTTAAACTTGTACTGTCTTCTGATTTGAGTGAATTATCATATAATTATTGTGAAATATTAATTATGAGCTTGTACCTTTTCAGATTTGTGTAAATAATCATCTTTCAAATTTTGTCCTACATGTAAATTAGTAAAACTTGCATTTTTCAGATTTGTGTGAATTTTGTTTTTCTTATATATCAGTTAAACGTTATGTTTCTGTCAGCAGTATCATTGTGGCTTAGATTAACGTATTTTGTTACATTGTATTACTTTTTTGTAATTAAAATATAGTAACATGTCAATTTAATGAACACTTGCATCACCATTGTAGTGATGATATTAGAAATCTTCTTTAAGTTTCATAGTTTTGACGAACCAGAAAAAATATCTTTACTATAAACATTTTTTTATCACATAAAAACCTCTGTTATCTGATCCATTTGATCAGCTGTACGGTCAGAGAGACTATATTGCCTTTAAACTCTAAGTAAAACTATTTGATACGTAATTGATCACACAACTGTATTTGCACTCTATAAACCCTTCTCAGCTGAGTTATCTATTAAAGTAACAGTATGACAGAAACTTAGTTCTATAAATATATCCTAGCAGTATTTTCTTTATAAATAAGGGTATGATGATATCCATTTTTTATATTTTTTTAGCTGATTTATTGATATAATAAAGAATACACACACTGCTAAATTTATCCTCTATCAATTTCTTTTCACTGATCTATCCATGTATTAAGAGTATGGTAGAAATTACCCTAAAAGAATGCCTGTTATCTGTGTATTGAAGAGTACGATAATTTTCTTGAACATTTAACGGAATAAACTGTGTTAGATAAGGTTACATGTACGGTAGATATTACCCTCTGTAGTAAGTATCTCTTGAAACAAATGCTTGCGATTAAAGATATAATCGGATTTGTTTTATAGATCTATCTTTGCTGAAATGTCTATCAAATCAATTAGCCTTACTCTGTGAGAATTTATGTGTAATAAAGGCCAAAGTAATCATATGTATCGTTACTAATTTGTAGAGGTACGAACTCAGTCATCTTTGAATATTTAATCGTACCGGGTACCATCACCTGTGTAGAAGGACACGAGATAGAATTCGGTCTACCATAATCCGTGTTGCCTTTTTCCCCTTGAAACTTCGAAACTGAACCTTTAGCAAGCGCATCTCTTCCGAATAAAGCTTCTTCGCATGTCCGTGAATTGTGGTTTCCGTATTAAAGATGAAATGCTCTATTCTGACCTTAGTTCTAACAATAATTTTTTAAAAGAATTGTCAGAATTATCAATCATGAATGCTTTTACAGACACCGATTTATATTTCTTCGTCTTTATCATGCCAGCGATATAACTCTGTGTTGGAGCTAATAGTGAAAAGTCAAATCCCGCTTAACTAAACATGACTATAGATTTAAGATAAGAGGTGAGATTTAACCTGATATACCTGTCAGGGGTGGTGATTCGTTAGGTTATTTATGCCATGTCATACCAAGTTATACACATGATTAATATAGTTTTATGCATTGTTGTAATGTAATGTAATGTAACAGATTTGAAATAATTTTGTAGAGATCAAATGTATCAAATATTAACAATAAATTACTATTAATATCAATTTTGAGTCCCTTCCTTAATATTTCAGCTTATAGAAATATTACAGTTAAAGCAACCTTCGACATTCATTTTTGTTGAAAGTAGTCCAACATTTAATCCATCTATTTAATAAATAACGCATTGTTGTAAATTATATGAAACATTAATTGGAAGCCGACCCTTACAGACGTCACTAAAACCCCTTGTTATTATACAAGTCCATACTGCCCGCTGAGAGTACAGACAGTACATGGGACATTCACGGACACATGTTCTTTCCAGATATTTAATAAAGAACAATTTAAAATCTTTCCCGTGAAATGCTTTAGTTGACATTAAGCACTGAACTCGGCGGAGGAGCAGTATTACTTGGTATCAAATGCACATTCTTCTGTCTTTACATAAGATCTGAAAAACCTCTCTAGAAGCTAACAACTTCACCCGTAAACAGTTTCATCTCGATGATAACTCTACGTCAAACAATCCCTTACCAATATTACAGTTAAAAGTGGATACATTGACCTAAGCTTTGTTCTCACCAAACTGCTGATTAGAGAACTGCTCATCGCTAAAGATTTCTGGAAGGATGAAACAGCGGTACGCCAGAGTTTATGTCATTTCTTGAAAAACTCTGCAACTTAAAGGTGCTTCTCCCTCAAGGCTGACTTTTTCATTCAGTAGGAAAAATCTGCTAATGGAAGTTCGTCCTTAAGGTTTGTCCCGACCTAATTCTAATGAATACTAGCTATTTTTCGGAAACTACACATGTACTTCACATTATTTCTAAATCATGCAATGTTGTAAATAGACAAACGTTTTGAAGAAAAGGGGATGGTGCACTTCACATAGTAAATATTGTTTCTACAAATAAAGTAGACATTCGTAAAAGTGAATATGGGGACCAGCAACATAGGTCAAAGTTTTAGCTCATTTTTTTTTTATTTTCTGTGTCTTGAATTTGCACCAAAATTTCAAGCAAAAACGCCTACTTACATTATTGTATTTTCTGCACACAAAAAGAACTAGACTTGCTCGATAACAAGAGACCCTATTTACAATGTACATATTACCAAATCTTTCCAAAGTAGAACTACTAGCCAACCATGCTTCAGTTTTATTTTTAAGTTATTCAGCAATGTAAACAGCATTCAACTGAAGGCTTAATCACTTAAAATGGAATTAATGGTATGCCCTTCATCAACACCCTCGCATATATTTCTTCTATAAGAATATTAGATGTTTTTCCTATACATATGATTGTAAACAGTATTGAAAGTATGTTTCGTGATAAAATACGGAAAACGAATCATATTTAATTATAAAGGTAATCGCACTTGCTCTTATAAGTATTTGAACGACTTTTGATGATCTTCCAATAAACAACAAGAAAATACCAACATAATTACAATCCAAATATTTATTCAATAAAACTAGGGCAAAATATGAACTAAAGAAAGAATAAGGCCATATGTTCCGGTCAGTTAGAGACAATGCCTGCCATGTATACCTTGGTCAATCCAGGTAAGTAATGTGACGTTCTCAAATGAGAGCAAGGTTACAACAACGGAACCAATAGGGAACCTAAAGAGACCAAACACGTCCAGCTTCATATCGCAAAATTAAATATAATAGTATCAATAAGATCATCATGACGACCGTAAACTTCCCCATATTTTTGTCAACAATCTACATCTTTTGTGTTACGAGTTTGTCAGTCGGTTGACGATTCTGACACAGAAATCGTGATAATTTGAACAGGGAATATGTATGCCTGGGGGTTTATTTTTGATTATTTACCTTGTTCTCATGAAGGACTGTGGCATTATTTACTTGGATTTACATGGCGGGTGTCGTTGATGAAGCGAATAAAGAATATGATTACTTTTTCTCTGTGTACTTTTTCAGGAGTTTCATTTCTTTGTTTTGTGAATATTTTCTCCTAATTTCATCGAGTTTCATTTATTTTTATCTTTATTTATTTTTGTTATTGTATTTCAACATTTCTCGCCACTGTCAGCGTCAGTTTCCATGAAACGATGCTTTACGATATGCTGTGATGCTACAAAATATCGCTAATATCATTTCATCTGTATGGACCAATTCCTGACGTTATACCCCTGTCCTACAACATACCCCTCCACTGTCAAGTTTCACTCTCTATGGACGTTTGGCCTTCCAAATCACCCTCGTGTTTATCAGTGGTGACTGTGAAGTGCCCGGGTCTGTATGTCAATAAAGCTGGGGGGATTAACCTAGGTTTGCACTAACACACGTAATTGGTTAACAATGCACAAAGGGTGGGCCATCCTCCTATCACTGTTTATAGCAAATATTGACATAGTCTATTTCTGATATATGTTTAGCCTATGAAATAAGAAAACCACCGAACGCGTCGACGTATTCTGTGTTGGGATACTTCACACACCATAGGATATCAAGTTTACTTTGAAGCTACAGAGAAACGATATGTGACATCTCGAGAGGAGGAAAGGACCCTCGATAGCCCTTATTCGGGAGTTAGATCGAGTGATAAGACTTGACAAACCACGACCTATCTTTACCTCAGATAAATCAAGGATCGAACCTTCAGGTTCAGTAGACGAGCCATATTTGCTGTTGACAGCTGCTCTCGAGAAAAGTACAACATGATGTCTGATTCATCGACGTGTTTGTAATGACTGGATTAATAATGGAGTGTTGAAAGAGACTGTGATATAATATCAGTTTCGAACAGTCGGAAAATAGTTGTTTTCATTGTTTTTACTGTTGATATAATTCCTCGAGTATATCAAAGTACCGATGCCGTTCTCTTTACACATGCATACTAAAGTACAACCCAATTTCCTCGTTAAGTGTTCATAAATCATATTATTTTCAATCAAAAGAAAAGATTCCGGACATATTCAGGTAAACACTTTCACAATGATGGAGACTATGACTTTGGCCACGGGGCTTTCGGACGGCTTATACGACATACCCCACGGTCATCCGCAGTCCCATGGGTATCACTACACCGCGCCCTTGTGGCACAGTAATAGAGAGGACCGAACTTGTCAGGTTTCCCTGAATCCCTCTATGACGTCACTGGAAACCCGGACATCCGGACAGACAGAGGGGCAACGGATATCACCAGGGAAAAATGATATTGAACTTCCAGAATTATCAGGTATCGTTGATTTGATTTATTCATTTATATGAGCAAGTGAAAAAAATCCAAGAGTTCAGTAATTAGGGCAATTGACATTAGAATAGGGAGGGGGTAATTTATTGTTCAGGTATATAATAGTTTCTCTTTGTCATCAAAACAGATGTTTGTAAACACTTTGTGTATCTAAACAGCATGAGGCCTTAGTTACAGAGAAGTGAAATATTGATAACAGGTATTGAACATAACTTGTTTATTTTTATCTTTATCTGATTTCAGACCATAACAAATCCTACTTTAAAAAGGTGCTTTTTTTAAAAAGAAAAATGTAAAGAAAGAAGGGGAAAAATAATTACAACATGAAAATGTAAACAGATACAACGACGGTCATTAATCATTATTTACCATTTTCAAGTTTCATACATACATTGAATGCAACACAAATAAAATACAGTAACATCAGAGGTAAAGTCTTTAAAACAAGGATAGAAAAACATTTTTCTTTCTTTTTTATGACTTCAGTAAAAATCATTTGAGATGATGTTTGGAAATGTGATTTAGTATCAATACATAAAATAGAAGTAAAATATATGTCCACTGTAGGTATATAAGTTTTATAATATTTATGTATATGTGTCATGGTTTTTAGGGGTGATACGATTGAGAAAATCGTCTTCAATTTAACAAAATATCTGTATTTGTTCAGTTTTGATAATATACTTAAATAAAATGTAATTAAATAAAATGATTTTCAATACAAAAAGTCTGTACGTTAAAATAGTATACTAAAATTATGACAGTTGTTAAATATTGTCTGTCATTTTCTAACATGGATAGCGAACTCGTAAGTAGTACTTAGTAGATAATTATGATGGCTGTAACACTTTCTTATTTTTATATAATTAATGGTACATTATATCCTGAACCAATACGGTTGTTTATATATTCTTATAAAATTGTTCAAAGCACATAAAACAGAATAAAACATTTTATTTCAAACTTAGAATTAGATACATTATAGCAAAATTATGAAATTAACCTATCACACAGCTCCTTCGCCTAAATATACAGTTATTTTATGTTGATAACATTGATGATAAAATAATAAAACTTCAAAGATGTAATTTCCGTCTGTTTAAGAAATGGTATTTTCTAACAAATAAATTGATTATTAATGTCCTCATACCAGAAATGTCTCTTCAACACGACCTTATATCTGTTCATAATTAATTAATTCATTTATATGGCGCCGTCTAAAATTAGAATATAACATCAAACATCATGATTCAAAATTTCTTGAGTAAAATAATTTGATCAATTTTCTACAAAATCTTATTGAATATGCAGTGAAAGATACATGTTGTAACAGGGATGAAATTGGACGAGAGTAAAATTTTAAGAATAAGTGAATGGATAGTTTTGATGTTTGCATTTTAGTCATTAGCTAGGGTTGTCCATGTGCAGACGGTGCATGGTATGGAATAAGAAAGTCTAATAAGATACAATTGTATATAGTCTCAGGAATAGTGAAGATATTTTCAAATATGTTTAATTATTATAAACTGGAGGTTCTCGTACCCGTTCAATATAATCAACTTTCAAATTTAGCAAACATCGATGTCTTTGTTACTTTGTTAAAGCAGTCTTTAATTGTTATACTGATAAAAACAATATATACTATCAAACAAATAATACTTCGATTTTATAATAAGATAAAAATTACTGAAAACAAAAAGTATTTAATTTGTTTAAATTAAATCTAAAGTATTAAAGAAAACCTATTTGATATCATGATTTATAATATTTCAGTAATCTATTTAGTTATGCTGTGTTTGTTTTAGTCCTCCTTTCTTTTCAAACAATTATCAAAATGCGTATGGTTTCAAAATAAATGCGGACTGACTAAGGTTGACTCAACAAAATATATTTAGAAATGTTCGTATTATTGAATTGATAAATGAAAATTTATTACACATGTTCAAATAACATAATATTCCTGGAATTCAAGCTTTTCAAGGTGTGGGTTATGAGCCAAATAGGGAATGACGGTAAAAGATTCACCAACAGGTAGATTTATGTAATAATTCCGTTCTGAATGCAATTTATTTCTCTGAACTTTTAAAGGAAGCGGTCTTTTATTTCGCAATTTATCATAACTAGATAAAATTATAGAATATTTTCTTGTACTAAAACTGTGATTGCCGAGACAATAGAATAAAACATTAATACAAATCAGAATTTTAAACACAAAGCACACCCCTCTTCTGCCAGGTCAACATAGCAATTAACGTGTCCACATTAGAGAGTTTGTATGATAATTTCACTTTCTATTTGTGTGTGATGTTAGTTGGTCACTAAGCTTCAATTTCAGAAGGTAATAAAGGCAAATAGATAACAAATAAAATTACAACAAACCGAATTAAAAGTTACACAATACGGTGAATACAGCTAAACTCAAAATATAACATTCTTTCTCTTGTTTGTATGTCATGTATGGGGAAAGATGTGTGGGGTTTTTTATTATCATTTTACGATATTTTCAAATTATTCCATGATTATGATATGTTGGGGGAATATATGTTCAATGGCACTACAGTAAACAGATACGTTGACACATCCTACATTGAATATCAGACTAAACAACGCACTGTGTTATAAAATATACGGCAGCCAGTAATCCTCCATCGTTTTTGTTTTATTTTTATCTATCATTATTATTATTATTATTATCTAAAATTAAAGTAATCATTCCAGCGAAAGTCGATGTAATTAATTAAATATATAAACGACATATAATAATGATCACCTCATCACTGCATCACTCTTACAGACCTATCTGTATATGTATCTTCGATGGTTTATCATCCCAAAGACCAAAATATCTCAAGATAAGAAATATAAGATACTTTAATATATACATATATAAACAATATATAGATAGTATACTATTTACGCAAACAATACTTCTTTATGTTATTTTAAAAAAATCATGACATCACAATGTATATTGTCACTCTTTCTGTCCACCTCCTCTTGCGCTTGCTGTTGCTTGTCATTTCTGTACACTTTGTCTTATTCTGTGTCTTTTTTTGTACAAGGTTATATTTAGCAGCTGATCTCTTGGTTTTGATTCCAAATCTAGAGATTTTATAAACATGAGTACCCCCTTTGAATAACATACCATTTAATTTATATATACATTATGTCTCGAATTATGAATTCAACTATATCATACACTGTTCCATCCTTTTAGAATATTTTTGTGATTTTAGGGGTCCAATACAAATTTCAAAATGGAAAAATATAACAAAATGATAAATTACACTGTATTATATAACTGTTTCGTCATTTTAGCATTCTTAACTGATGCTAACGGTCTTGAATATTTTTGTTTATTTTTAGTGTGTTGTATGTGGCGAAAAAATGATAATTCAACTGTGTAATACAACTGCTTCTTCCTTTCATTGACTCGTTGGTGATTGCCTTACTCTGAATAAATGATAATATATTAAATAAATACTAGCGAAGTCCCTGTAATAATGAATAATGACATGTTATCGTTCCATTATGATACCATATTTAAGAATGTAATTATAAATACTACCATATTGTACTGTATTATCTGCTGCACTTTGCTACGTATTCAATAATTTTACGGATGCTAATTGAAACTTAGACAGAGATAATTGTTATTAAACTGGGATATGACTATCTATAAACATAAGATGCTAAATATTTCATCCGTTACAAAACCCAATGTTCCTACGATCCTAAATTAAACTGCATTATACAGCTGTATCGTCGTTCTAGAACACATCGATGATAATGCAAAGGAACTGAATTATTGAAATTTAGGGTGATTGACGAAGATTTAAAATGATCAAAGAAAACAGATGGAGAAGTGCACAAGCACTAAAGCCCAATAAATAACCTAAAGTCATTATACTACTTTGTCTAAGAACCTGATTTGGCTCGCTGTGTGTTTTACGGTTTGATGGCCCTAATGACCTTTTATGTGTTGATGGGCCGTTAAGAATGTAATAATAATAATTATTATTATTATGTGAAAATGATCCACTAGATACCTGCTTCATATAACCACTATTTAAGTCTTTAGAATAACAAGCATTTCCCTGTTCGGACTATATTTATTATATGTATATGGCACATTCTTGTTTGTAAAACATAGGTTGCAATCGATCACTGTGAGCTATGCTTTAGACTCTGGATATATCAGTGATTCAGGAACGAGACCGATTCCAAGTCGAACTACAACAAGAAGTGGTTATGGTAATAGCTATTATCTGGCTATCTAATCACCCCTCCGCTTTGTCCATACTGTTCCCTGAAATCAAACAACCCGGCCCACTTCTGTGTGTTAACAATGGACGTGTTATGCAAACGAGGTGAGATCACCGATAGCTGCCGTCCAATATTTAACAGATAGTTTGTCCGCGTACCATCATTATATATGATATCAGAGCGAAAGCCGTTAATTTTAACATTATCAGCGGAGTAAAGGAAATATTTGGGTAGGTATCCTCCGATAAGATGCACACCGTTCAGGAGCCGTTCTCTTGTTGACTAGCACGTTGTGAGATGTCTGAATCTAAACACACTTTGTCATCAAATGTCCACATCGGTCTATGTGTCGTTTCTGTACAGAGAAATGGTCCAACATTAATACCAGTTTTCTTTATTATCTATAACTCTATATTCCTGTTAAGGAAAGGATATCTATTATTTAAATATATATTTGTTGTTCATGCATTATTGACATATCCAGAGAATATATATTAATATACAAGGAAACGAAAAATATGTATCCGAGTACGTGTTATAAACAGCGATAGATAACAAAATTGCCATAATTATGCAGTTCGATGACGTTATTTTGTTCCTGTGCATTGTAGCTATGTCGTGTATAACAGATATATGTAGACTTGTTTTGTAGCGACTGGATATTTAATCCCCAAAACAGTTCAACAGGTTAAGTAATAGTGACATGATCACGTCTTTTCAGCAGTTTTTTAATCACCATTGTTCAACTTATTTCCAAGGCTCAACTTACTCCGGATATGGCTTCAAAAGGATTGAGTATGGCGTCAAACATGTTATGTAAAGCCCGTCCCTGTCGCTGATTTATTTATCACTAGACTCGCCCTGCCTCACCTTCACCTGACCTGTGCAAATTAAATCATATTTGAAACGATATGACAATGTAAGTGAAATAAAACAAAAACATTGGTGATGATAACTTCTTTGTTCAGTAAACTCACAACAACAGGTAGTGTTTCCAATGACAACGAATTATCTTTTAAAGCGTAATGACGAACATTATCTAGCAACGGATCAACATCTTTGGGATGTTTGTAACGTTATGGTTTTTCAATTGACTGCATTGTTTGACAAGCGATCAATTGTATTATCAATATAAAACACGGATATTGAAAAATACACTAATCGGAAGTGACATGCCTAAACCTGTCACAAAATTTCAGATATCAGTAGAAACAGACGAACAAAATAAATGAAATCGACAAACCCAACAGATCAAGTGAGGATAAAATTAACTTTAATTAAACAAAATTTAATAAAATTAAAGTTATATTTTGGGAGACTGCTTATAACTGAGTATAATACACTAGGTGTTTTACATAAGGAAAAACGAAACAGGACAAAATCTACTTTTAAAAAGTCATATTTAAGGAAAAAGCAAAGAAAAAAATGCAATAGAAGCAGACCCCACAACTGAAAGAAAAAAACCGTTATTACAGCGAGTAAAACCTAGAGTCGATCACAAATACGGTACATATATAGGGCAATCAGGGGAAAGCAAGGCTAAGCAGGGAGTGGACATCACTACAATGATTTACATAGCAGTTGTACAAAGTTAAGAACTAGAAGGAATCACATTTATACGGCGTTATAACTAAAAGAAATAATTTTATACGGCGTTATACTAAAATGAATCACTTATATACGGCGTTATAAACCAGAAGGAATCATTTTTATACATTGTTATAAACCAGAAGGAATCACTTTTATACGGCGTTATACACTAGAAGGAATCATTTTTATACATCGTTATAAACCAGAAGGAATAGTTTATATACGACGTTATGGTGATGCTTTTATTAACCAGAGGGCAACAACATCGAATATTTAGGAAATTACTCTCACATGGAACGTCAAGGGGGGAGGGGGGGGGGGGGGGTTGGTTGGTTGGTTCATAGCCATAAGGTTTTCCCCGTTACATGTCATTATACTAATTTTAATTTATTAGAATTGTGGCACAGTTCATAATATACTTGACGTTCTTCTAAAATAATCAGATACATAAAACCACGAAATTAACTAAATCATAGGGCTAATGGACCATCCAGATTTTGACATATCTTTCTCTCATATTAGATTGCTTTCAGACGCCTCGTATGTTTAACATTAAGGGCGTTATTATTACTGAAGAGACCTAAAGGGAACCAACGATTGTATGATGCAGTTTAATTCATTCTTTGCTTTTAATTTGTACTAAAATATGCTTTCCACTGTCTTTGGTACATTCTTTCCACAGTCTCATTTCTTCACTTAGCACGAACCAGCAATAGTTGGTAGTCCAGTTTGTTTTCATTTTATGTTTTCTCTTTTTCTGGGGGTCTTGTTGGTTTTGTTTTTGTTTAGTTTATTTGGTTTGTTTTTTGTATACAATCTCTATACATCACCATTTCTTCACTTGGAGCGCGAAAACAATACTTGGTAGTAAAAATCATTTTTTTAATTATCATTTTTATTCATTTACTTATTTACTTTTTTGTTCATTTGTTTGTTTGTTTTTTTTGTTTTTTTCTTTAATTTTTTAAAAATGTTTTCATATAGAGCGATATAAACTAGAGGGAATCGCCATCATATAGAGCGATATAAACTAGAGAGAATCACTGTCATATAGAGCGATATAAACTAGAGGGTATCTCCGTCATATAGAGCTATATACACTAAAGGGAAACATAGACATATAGAGCGATATAGAATAGAGGGATTCACCATTATATACAGCTATATAAACTAGAGGGGATTCACCATCATATACAGCTATATAAACTAGAGGGATTCACCATCATATACAGCGATATAAACTAGAGGGATTCACCATCATATACAGCGATATAAACTAGAGGGATTCACCATCATATACAGCGATATAAACTAGAGGGATTCACCATCATATAGAGCGATATAAACTAGAGAGAATCACAGACATATACAGCGATATAAACTAGAGGGATTCACCATCATATAGAGCGATATAAACTAGAGAAAATCACAGACACATACAGCGATATAAACTAGAGGGATTCACCATCATATAGAGCTATATAAACTAGAGAGAATCACAGACATATAGAGCGATATAAACTACAGGGTATCTCCGTCATATAGAGCTATATCAACTAAAGGGAATCATTGACATATAAAGCGATATCAACTAGAGGGAATCAATGTCATATAGAGTGATATAAGATAGAGGGAATCATAGACATATAAAGCGATATAAACCAGAGGGAATCGTTCTCATGCAAAGCGATATACACTTGAGAGAGTCACTGTCAGATAGAGCGATATAAACTGGAGAGAATCACAGATATATAGAGCGATATAAACTAGAGGGAATCACAGACATATCGAGCTATATAATGTAATAAGACTCACTGTTATATAGAGAGTTATAAATTACAAGGCATCACCATTACCATGAGCGTCATAAATTAGAAGGAATTACTGTTTTATAGTAGAGTATACTGACGTTTTTAGTTTAGACGCCTCTACCACACTTCAGTGTAATCAATTCATATATCAACAGTAAATTATGATACAAAGCTGGCAGTATCAAGTATTCAAATCATGTCGAAGTCTCCATTACAGTTGATCATTATACATCATTATAACAAAGGATGAACTCTTAGTATAAGATATATATCTTATTTAACATTACTCTGTTTGGCTGAAACTTTTTGACATCTTTTTTTTTATCAAAATACATCCACGGACATTTTGCATTTTAGGGCGATTTCTTTTCACAAATCGATTGAAAAGGAATTTTTTGTTTTATACTGTTCTGCTGCATTTGTTTTCATGTCTAACCAATATTTTAAAAAGCTGAATTTATTTCTTTTTCAAGATTGGATAGAGGATACAAGGGATACCAAAGAGTTTGAAAAATCTTCAAGCGAGCAAAACTCACAGAAGCAATCTCAAGTAGCGTCAACATTAAAATGGTAAGTTCTTATTGTTAAATAAAGCGATAATTAATTAACCGCTATATCAAATCATTTGTTGTATTATTCACATCATGACAAATATTACGTTTTAAATGTTAAAAACATTTGTCATTAATAGAAGTATTTCATCATTGGCAATATCAATTATTCTCCATCCCTTGTATTTTTGACTTGTTTTTGGAACAGAGACAATTGCTGTTGAAGGCATGTCATTTCAGACGTGATTTATATTATTGATTAAGAATTTTTTTGTTGAAAAAAGAAAAAAAGGAAAATGAAATAAATATATTTACAGGCTATAAACAATTGTGATGATGGACAATGTTGTAAAACATAAAATATGTAGACTTTATTAATAACTTTATGTTACAAATTAAGCAATCATTTACTCGAGGTCATTTGAAAAAAAATAAAAAACGACACTTTCACACAAGTATAGCTTTATATGAATGTATAGCAAATATTGATGTAAAAAAACTTTCAGGTGCGATCAACACCTAAATCTGTAGGAATAGAGTGTACACGTAAAAATGAATAAATCTGTTTTGTTCGGATTTTAATTGACGATAGGGAGCAAGGTCTGAGAATCCAAAAGAAACACAGAACACTTTAATCAACAACAAACAAAAGTTAAATTATAGTTCGGATAATTAACAACCACCGTTTTCACATTGGAATAAAGCGTGCGTAACATCAATTGTTTTGGAACATTAATTTTGAAGCAATTAAAAGAAACTTCGAAGGAGTATTTAATATATTGACAGATGGGTGGTTGTACTGACACATTGTGTCCTTCTCGGATATTGCTTGGCCTCTTCCAGTGTCAAGAGTCAAATCTGTCACTTCCCAAAGATTTCGTAATCCTTGTTATGTTTGAAACGTGCGTCATATTGGTCGATGCTCTCAATTCGTGTCAAAATTTTGAATGTTAAGATCACTTTGTCACGTGTATCATTTAAGTGTGCAGGTGTTTCAAGAAGAACAATACTAGAACAAGCTTTATTTAAAGTGCAAAGCACAAAATGAGATATATGATTGATTAGCTGTATGTATGTCCCTTAAAAGAAAACACATGTGAAACCCTCATATCGCAGTTTTTCTTTTATTGTAAAGAAAACGAGTGAATATACTGCATGCTCCCCAACACGAGATACAAATATACAATGTGATTTGTTTGAAACAGAATTTAACAATTCATGCAGTTTTAGGTAGGAACTCTTTTATAATAAACGGACCTTTTCACTGGTTTAACAAAATTTATATGTTATATGCAGCACATATGGCGAAGGTAATATCTAAGAAATAGACGTTTAGAAATTTTAGAAAGTTCGGAATTACATACCATCTACAAAATTTGCTATGTGAAAAGACATCATTTTTTCTAAAAATCGTTCTTTATATTATTTCTTTTTAAAAAAAGTAATTTTACTCATTAATATGCATTGAGGTATCAAAAATGGATTTCAATATACCATTAATGTGAATATCGTGAATTAGTGGTATACATTATAAGCTTATTCTGACAGTCGTATTATCTCAATTTACATATTTTATGAGGAAAATTGGCATATCAAATATATTCATATTACTTAAATGTTAAATATTTGAATATTTCTTTCTTCGTTGCTATGCTCTGAACTTACGTCGCTGATTTTTACTGCTTTGACAGTTGAATTGTCAGTCAAATTTATCATTTCAATCCTGCCAGTTATATTTGTACATAGCATTGCATTTGTACATATGATAATGTCATAAGTATGGTGTTGATACGTATTTTGAACTGACTTATCATGTCCAGTCGATACTACGATATATTCACTACCTTTTAGAGAAAAAAAACAAACAAACAAACAAATAACAACATGGACGGAATTATTTTCCTTTAGGCATTTGTATCTTCCACTGAAGATCGCCATTGCATTACTGCTTGCACAATGATCAGATACAGAAGGTATATGATGTTATATACATTTATCAAGGTGTTGTTATTACAGGTGTATAGGATCTGATTGAGTTTTCAATTCAAATGAGATTATATGAAACAAATCTTAGCAGATCTTATTTTTGTGAACCTTATAAACATACAACACAAAACAAGTTTTATAAAATATCCTATAAAATGAAAATTGTTTTAAGTTATGTTTATCACACAACTCAAAATAGTTGCATTTTGTACAGGTTTTAGAGTCAAAATAAAACGGAGACAAACTTTTTCCTTTGCCATTTACAATTTATGACATAATATCGTTGTCCACAAGAAGACATCACAATCCATTTTCGACTGACACAGCTAATTTAAAACGGCTCAAGATATATTGCACTAGTGACATATAATGATTACGTGGTATACTTACTGTCACATTGATTAAACGCCATATTCTTTTCCACTAATATATTAACAATTTACCATATTTTAATTAATATCATTATATCATTCAAAGTCTCAACGTCACAACATTGGTTGGAATCAAGGACTGTTGAATAAGGAAGTAAAGGAATAATAATTATGATAAATAATCAGTCGTGAGTGGCAAATTAATTTCGGATGTAAATTAATTGTTAAATGCATATTAATAATTTGCCTTATTTCCATAATTATTAAAGGTAAAGAATCTAGCCTTTAAATAATATAAATGAATTAAGTGCTCTTAGAATTTTATTTCACAGAAATGTTGATTTTAATATCACAAAAAAAACATGCTAAAGACAAAAATAGGTCTGACTGAAGGTTCATATAAAATAACGTATAAACCCGCTCTTGTCTACATATGTATATATTTATAGAACGACCCGAGGTAATGTTCATCATTGTTGTTTATCAAAATAATGTTTAGAATATTGTATATTTCATATTTATCAAAAGGGGTGATTTATTATATATAACACTGTACAACGAACAAAACGTTTTTACAACTTAAAATGGAAACAGGTTGACGGAAAACTACGAGAGAGCGGAAGGGGTGTGTCTACCAAGGTGTGTGCTCTATACTCACTACCTGGACTTCTGCAAGAAGATGAAATTTACACCTGCTGGGGCAGCAACATTCGGCAAGGTAGACAAAACAGAGTTCATTGCATTTCCCCACTTTATATAAAATTATTAACTTTTATTCTTTTATTTCTTTTCTTCGTTTTTCTTTTTCTTTATTTTTGTAGGTTAGGGCTGGAGGGTTTTTATCACGTATTTATTGCGAATTTATTAATAATTAATAATTCTTAATTCTGTATCAAGCCGAATGTGTTTCCTATGCTCTATGGTTTTACAATTTTACAATGATTGGACACAATGTTGTTATCATATGTGTATGTGAACTTGATAAATCTTGAGAGGATTTTTATAAAACAACCTATGTATTTCTTTTGAATAAAGACGTCTTATTTTGATAATTTCTTTTTTGCGATGGCTTCTGTTTGTCATATTATTTATAAAATAATAACAATATGTTTTTGTTTGTAACAGATAATCCGGCAAAAGTTTCCGAAACTTACTACAAGAAGACTGGGAACTCGAGGGCAGTCAAAGTAGGTGGTTACACATATATATTGTATATTGTAAACTGCATTTGAACATATCATCGATTGAGTTGGACGGTTCAAATACCATCATATGGTTGTAATGCTTGAGCTATATAATATGGACTTGTTCTTTTGAATATTGCACAAAAGACACACAAGTGAATAGCATATTTGAATGATTTAGAGTTAGATAAAGTAGAGCAAAACAATTAATTGAAATGCATCATACACATTGGTCGTCCTTCTAAGAATCGTCAGTGGTGCTAAGAGCCTGAATTTCGAAGCCAACGAGGCGACTGAGAAAAATCCAGTGTGATCGAAAGAAAACGTCAAAATCTAAACTAGACGGAGAGTAGCAGCAGCCCCACTAATCAATGTATTTCGCAATATTCATATATTGGATAATTTTAGAATAGCGTCAAGTACATGTGTATTTTCTGAAAATTATTCAGAAATTATCTAATGTTTGGAAAAAAAGTGAGATTCATCGGGTATTTGAAATTTATTTCAACCAATTTTGATTTTCAACATTGTCTAGTATTTCAATAATTTCGCATAGATGGCGATTTCTGCAATGAAGGACGAAACGCTGTATAATGCAGTTTAATTCATCATTTGTCTCTACGTTAATAATTCTAAACTTATTTTCAATATGCTGTTCGTTTGTTTAGCTTTTTCCTCTACAAATATTTTATATCCTTTGAAAAGAGAAACAAACCCTATATATTCTTCTTCATCAATCAACCTTGATCATTACTTAAAACCATTTTTGAACGAATTATGTTGTTAAGTATCAGAGATGTTTTAACGCCGTGATTTTTATGAATATTTGCCTCGATCTGTTGTCATTTGAAGGAAAAGAGCTTCCTAAGCATCTCGAAACTGAAAAGCTATCATGACACAACCGTCTTTCCAATAACGTATGTGTAATTTTAATTTCATTATTTCTCTACAATAATACTAAGATACGGAGTTAGTTTGTAAGGTATAGAACAGCAGTATGTTTGGTTGTCAATAGGTAGTCTTCCAACAGCACGTCATGACACTGTGTGTATTCTTCGATCTAGGTATCACTACTACGGGATCGGAATCAAGGAGAGCTCGATATACTACCATTCAGTCTACTCGGGCAAAGGTCTCACAAGGTAACTAACACCACGGCAAGTCATCCTGTAACACTGAGTATATTATGTGTACAAGTTTAGTGCTAAAACACCGCTCTCCCTAGTTAATACTCCAATGTCTGAGAATGTGGTTTCTCTTTAAACGTAATACTTTCATAAACCGTTCGAATGGAGTTGAACCCTAGTATAAACACTTTCTAGCACTCACTAAAGTCTTAAGTATGTGTACACTGAACACATTGCTGCACAACGGTGGTTTCGTTATTACTACGTAATACTTACTGCTGGTGTTATTAAGTCGAATATGTATTAAATGATAACTAAACCTGATGTCATCCTCACGAAGATAACGAATTAATATATTTATATATAAGTAATTTTTCGTCTTAATTTTGGAATTCGACTGCTGTGTTAGAAATATGTAAAACCAGGCCAAAAATGATATATATAAATACGTTTACTGATATCCTACTTAAATACATTCTTGATCAAACGTAAAGAAAGGTATTTTAGGAAATATCGAAAATATTGCCTAAATGTCTCAATATCATCGAAATTCTTCTAAAATGATAATAAATACTTTTGGTTTGAATTCAGGCATATTTCACATAATTCTAGTGTATGTTCACATAATTTACCCTGTGTATCACTAAAGTGATGTTCCGTGTATGTACTGTAGGAAGGGACCTAATCTGTCTTTGTTTGTCCGTCTACCTGTGATGTTTCTACCCTATTTGGTTTGGATATCGGCAATCTCTGTGTGTGCATGCATAGAACAGGGTTAAAAGCTTTCGACAAATTCTGGCAAAACCGTCCGCTTAAAGTCTCACGGCGGGCTGATATCACATCAATGAATAGTGACAGATTGTCCTAAACAAGGATGATACATGGAAAACAAATTTCGTAATTACCGTAAAATCGATACCAAACGTGTTAAGATATTGGCAAACACAACATACGCCTATATCGTTTCTGGATTTGAAGATCAAGCAGATGTGTGTATTAATTTACCTAGCTCTCACGAGGACGGTTTATTAGACTAATAGGTGACACGTCGGTCTCGGTGTGTGGGCTGTGCTTGTCGATACTGCCATTCATTAAAACTCGAATTTCCTCAATGTATACTTATTAAGCAAATCAAAGTTATATTCAACGTCATAAATATCGAATGGTGAATACATAGTAATAAAACGACCTAGTCTTTGTTATCTGATATTAAAATCTATATCAAAACTAATGAACTGAGTCAGAAAGGAAATTTGATTATGTTATGTCCTTTGTGATATCTCTAATTTGGTTTTTACTAAGTATTATTGCGTTTTGATGGAGATTTTTTATTAAGTTCGTTCAGTCTGTCATTGTTAATTATCCGTTCAAAATCTATTAAATTGTTCAGATTTATAGCATAAGTTTGTTAATATGCTATTTATTTCACTTGCTTTGACACCTTTCACAAGAATATTAATAAGTATCTACAAATTTACCTGTGATTATAACTGATTTAAAATCTGCCATTTTACAAAGGTATGAACTACATTAACAAATATTTATACAAGACCTATGTATATATAAAGGCAATGGGATAATTTATTTCTCATCCTACCGTGTGAATCCATGTCATTTATGACATGATAAATGCTTTATAAACCCATACCTTATTTGATCTCTATTTTCCTACGTTTTGCAGATTTTCTGGGATCAAGATAAAGACAGAGGTATTGTGATTTTCACTTTTTAAAAGGATTCATCTATCTTCTGTATTAGGAGCTTAGACAAACGCGACCAGGGCCTGGCCATTGTAGCATCCCTAAGTGAAACAAGTATTTTTCTGTTTAAATAAGGCCCCTTATGTCGATGAATATGATAAATTGAAGGAACGGATATAGCAGTTAGGCAAACATAACGCGCGTTACACAGGACCAGAGTGGGGGCATAGCTTGGAATCCCGGGTAGATATCGATCACGGCGTATTAACTGCCGTCCATTTAATCTGTTCAAACGTAAAGGTGTAACGAGGAAGAGGCGGGCTGCCTCACGTATAACTGTATACTATTAGGTATTATTAAACGTTAAAGTGTAACAAGGTAGGGACGGTCTGCCTCATGTATAACTGTATACTATTAAGTATTATTAAACGTTAAGTTTAACGAGGAAGAGGCGGGCTGCCTCATGTATAACTGTATACCATAAGGTATTATTAAACGTTAAAGTGTAACGGAGAAGGGACGGTCTGCCTCATGTATAACTGTATACTATTAGTTTTATTAAACGTTAAAGTGTAACGGTGAAGTGACGGTCTGTCTCGCGTATAAATGCATACTATTAGGTATTACTAAACGTTAAAGTGTAACGGGGAAGGGGCAGTTTATCTTATGGTATTATATGAAAAGGTGTAACAAGGAAATGATGGTCTGGCTCACGTATAACTATACACTATTAGACATGTTTAAACGTTAAAGTGTAACGAGAACGGGGCGGTATATGTAAAGGTGTAACGGTGAAGGGACGGTCTGTCTTATGTATGAATGTATACGATTAGGTATTATTAAACGTTAAGGTGTAACGGTGAAAGGACGGTCTGCAACAAAGTGATCACTATCTAGATAAAACTATACATTTTTTTCTCGGGTGGTTGAGGGTAAAAACGACGCGCTGTAGACGTGGCGTTCTTACGTAAACTACAAAAGTAACATCTGCTTAACAAACGTATAAATACATCATTCCGTCTACAGAAGTAGGTTTCTAACTGAGCTGTTCAACAAAATATATGAAAGAAAGATTGCGTCTATGAACGGTTGGCTAGATATTTTGAATAAATCACTGATGATTGATTTGTGAAACTGATGTGAATACATACACCTTGACGCAATATTAACCGCAAGCTATTACAAAGTGCTGGCAGAATTAAATGTTTGCATTATCAATTTCGTATCCGAGGTACCCGACTGTGAAATATGTAGAGTCTTGGTTATTTTCTTCTGTTCTCTTTATCGTTTTCTTTCTCAAGGATGTGTTTATAAAGTTAGTTTGACATTAGGTGCCGATAACATATTACCAAACCATCAGCTTTTCTGAAGAAAGATACCGAACTAATTAATTAGGCTCACGTGGCTGTGTTTAACACATAGTATACTCTGACGTCACTACTTGATGGATCGGAATTTATAAATGTATCAAAAGCATGCCATGGATTGAATGCTCTCACTTTATTGAAATGAAGGTTGTCAGACTTTCAGCATCAAATAGCGATCTTCGAAATCCAAACCAGAAATCCAACGCAATTTATAAACGCCTTAAACACCATCAATATATTCCAATATATATCATTCGATGTAAAGTTGTCAAGTATCCCGCGTTTGTCCTTATCTGCCTTCATTACTAAATTTGGAATCATACTTTCAGTTGAGTGAGATCTTCTCACTATTTGCTTATTTCGGTTGTAAATTGAACGGTTTGTTACAAATAAAAAGTATACAATTGATATGTAATTAATTTACTTCACATACGAATCGATAGCGCTACATAAAATTCGCAGATGTCTTTGTAAAACGAGATATAAATTGATGATTTTGAACTTTCCTTTAATCTGTGTATAAATACAACGTATTTCTATCTAGTTAATCATCTTCCCTTATCTTTGACTAAGCCAGTAACGGAAACATTCCCCTGTACATTTTCCACAGCCGTAAACAGGGTGATCGTTGATGACCTCTTTTACTTTTATCGCTTGTGAACATCCTCTTGTTTTTCCACTAAGTGTGACAATTAAAGAGGGACGGCCAAGGGTACTTTAGACTCAGAGTTGTCAGCTGTGTTTGAAGTTGATTCACAACTGAGGCACCCGAGTATTCGGCCCAGCTGGGGCCATTGATCAGGATGACGCATCCCGTTTAGTGGCCAGGGCGTAGGTGTTCAGGGTATGGTTAGTTTAGAAACAAACTTGGATTATTCTCTGTATTTACTTGCCTTTGAATTCTTCATTCTTTGAATCGCAACCTTTTCAATGTCATCAGTTTCCGTATCTTTGTTAAATGTCAATATGTTGTCACTATACACCTATTTGTACATTTAACCTCTGTCTCAGTCGACATTTCACAACCAACCCCCTAAGCATCAAGCATATTGCAAGAATAGAAAAATCCACTCCATCAAATGAAACACAAAGTTTTGATGATAAAATTCTCTATAGCCTGCATTATTTTCAAGTATACAAATCCATGGAGGTCTGTACTCATACTAAATAAATAAAAGATTTATCAAAACTTCGATCTAAACAATTGTATATAGAAGATGGTTATAAATATATAATTCAATAAAGTTTATGCAATCTTTTATCTTCCTTAATAATGTGCATGTTTGTCATAGCTTAAAAATAGTTGGAACGCCTTTATACTGATTCGATAACTAGTGCCACGATCGTATCTAAGTGACCTAGATCACCAGGTGAAATGGACATAGCTTTGTCATGAGTGACGGCGATGTCACTGAGGAATTTTGTGTACGTTTTAGCTCGAAAGTGTCAAACCTTCTCAATATTCATCCGCTGAAAATATTACCACAAGGAGCCACAGAATAGGGTGTTTAATCTGTGTAAGTAGCCCGAGAGTGTTAAAGTAAAGCGTGGGCTAAACACAGATTATATATTTATATATCTGATGATTTGTTTATGATAGGTTGTTTATATGTGTTTAAATGTATGATTTAAAAACAATTGCATATTAGGACAACACTTGTATACAATAACAATTCTGTATTTCCAACAGTAGAAAAAAACTACATACGCTAATAGACATTATCATACCTTGCTGGAAGAATAAAAAAGGAATGTTGAACTGTAATGTTTAAAATATACATCATTTTTAGCATTGCTGATTATTTTAGATTCTTGTATTGGAATAAATTAGTATTTTTATTTCATTTTAGAAATTAAATTAAATTTTGTATTTGATAATTTCTAATTATTGTCTATACAATTTGAATGAATATATTTTAAAAAGGTATTTGTAATCTGATACTTTACAAATTCGGGAATTATAACGTATGTTCACAAAGCAGATATGATATATTCTATCGATGTATAGAGGATAGTATCATTGTTATATCCTGGTCCGTTTTACAGGGTTCCAACAGGAAATACTCCTTGAGCTCAAAGACGGGGACACTTCTTCCGGAATTCCCTGATGCAAATAATTTAATTTTGCCTGAAAACATCACAAGAGAAAAGGTACAGTATAACAAAATACATGTAGCTTTTCATGGAAACATTATATTGTACATTGTCTTTTGTTGTATTCTTTGTATTGTCCTACTTAAAATGACCGCTGGCCAATGTCTCCTTTGTTTCCACATTCTGACCATACCCCAGAGATAATTTTATTTATCATTCACAGATGCAAACATTTATAATGATGTACAGGACTCACTGTCAGAGGATCCTAGACACAGTGATCAGTGCTAACTTTGAGGAAGTAAGTTAACCAGCTTTTAAGATGGAATTAGATATATATCTGTCATGTTATAAACAATAAAGAAGAAGTCAAGACACATGCATCTTCTAATTGTAAGTGAAGGAACAAGCTATGAAATGCTGTATTCTGTAAGTGTAGGTACAGACTATGAGATGCTGTAGTCTGGAAATGTAAGAACAAGCTATGAGATGCTGTAGTCTGTTAGTGAATGAACAAGCTATGATATGCTGTTGTCTGTAAGTGTAGGAACAAACTATGAGATGTTGTAGTCTGTTAGTGAAGAAACAAGCTATGAGATGCTGTAGTCTGTAAGAGAAGGAACAAGCCATGATATTATTATGTTCCTTCAATTAAACGATGCTTGTTAATTAAGTAAAACAAAGATCATCAAATTTATTGACATCTTCAATATGCATAACCATAAAACCATTTTCATGTCAAATCATTTCAATGCCAATTAAAATATACAGATAGATTCATTCTCACACCTGTATGGTATATTCATCAAGGTATATTCAAATTGTTATACGAAAGTCACATTTAGTCACATATCGGCATTTCTAAGCGACATGTTGATTAAAGATTGTGACAACTTCTTAAAGTGAAACTATGTTATGTCTATCATCTCGATTTTGATCACTTTGGATTTTCTTTAGTAGCCTTCTAGGCTTCGAAAGTTTGGCCATTAGCATCGCTGAGGAGACATAGATGGACAAAACAGCTGTATGCTGCAGTTTACTTCATTGTTTGGCTCTACTGTATCTAACTCTGAATTATACTAGAGTGCTATTCACTGTGTCTTTTGTACAATCTTTCAGGTACAGAATTTCCTGCTTCATTTCTGGCAAGGCATGCCAGAACACCTCATACATCTATTGGACGCGGATATGATAGTGGATATTGTTGGTTTGTGTGACTCCATATTATATAAGGTAAACTACCACGAAATACCTTCATAGTACACGAGTGCAGTAACGTAGGTCATAATGGCGTCGTCTTATTATTAATCGTAACGTCAAACTATTCGACGTGAGATATTCTTCTAGCTTGTTTATCACCGGTTTATTAAATTTTAAAAGGTTTTCTATTTGTTTTTCATTTAAAATGTAGTGATTCATACAGATGTATGACAGAATAATACATTTCCCACGAGTATCCGTACCCGAAAAAAGAGATATGATATAAAACATGAAACCATTAAATCAATACAGATATCAAACAGTTCAATAGATTTGTGTCAGTCAACAATACATAAGGGATTGCGAAAAATACAAGATTGTCACTTGTGTATTTAAAATGATATGATACAAACATTTAGACTTGACGATGTCTATTTTCTACGTAGGTACTGGTAGATGTATTGATCCCGTCTACAATTCAAGACCTCCCAGATAGGTATGTATGTCCCAGCAATCGTTACTACAAAGGTAGTACACTAAAGCAAGATACCATGTCAAAAACAGTCGTCGCACTATAGTGATGTATTATAAATCACTACACTAATGAAAGAGTAGATCATTTCTCCAATGTCACTTCACTGAAACAGACTATAATGTCAATACACTCAGTAGGAGTAGATTATTATTACGGTGTCACTTCACTGAAACAAACTATAATGTCAGTACAGTCAATAGGAGTAGATCATTAACATGGTGTCACTACACTGAAACGGACATCAATGTCTGTGCACTCAATAGGAAACAGCCTATAATGGTAATATACTCAATAGAAGTAGAATATTATGACATTGAAACAGACTATAATGTCAATACACTCAGTAGGAGTAGATTATTACTATGGTGTCACTCCACTGAAACCTACTTTAATATCGATACACTCTTAGTAGGTTTATATATCATTACTATAATGTCACTACACCGAAACAGACTATAGTGTAAATACACTCAGTAGGTTTATATCATTACTATAGTGCCACTATACTGAAACAGACTATAATGCTAATACACTCGGTATCAATCAAAATATTACAGTAAACTTTATCAATGTATTTAGTTGGATTAGTGTCAGTATATCGTCAGTACGCTTTAATTAGGACACGTGCCATAGTGTGATTACGATTACAGTAAAGCAATCAAGATATATAACGACGTTATGTATGCTTCAAACAATTTGACTTTTGTCCACAGTTTGGGAACGGAGATAAAGATGTTTGTTAAACGACTACCTCACTGGCTTGAAAACGCTTTAGACAGCATTCCAGAATGTCTACGTCAAAAGAAACTTGATGGTAATAAAGTTGATCTTTTACTGATATTACTACAAAGTTTGAGGCAAAAACAGTTCTCCAAACACAACACAATTCATGTAAATCCGAATTCCGTATTTTTATTTTCGGTATTCCGATAAAAGAACAGGTAGCGATATCTTTTTCCGTTGTCTGCATTGATTTTTACTGACCCTATTACTAAAAAAGTTTTGTTTTCTAATATGGAAATTGCCACTTTCTTTTAAAAATTGATATATCTGACAAGTTTGTTGTGTAGAACTGAAATTATTTGAATAAGTTGACATGGTGTACATGGCGAGTGTCTTCTATTAAGCAGAAGGCACTTACTTTTCGGGAACACCTGGTCTTATTCTCCGTGTTAATCTTTCTTTTGTTAATATTTTGCCTTAGTTTTATTGAATTTAAGTTTAGATTTTCATGATTATGTTGACATGTTAGTATTTTCTTGTTTTTTTTTTCGAATGATAAATATTTCAAGAAATCGTAACACGTTCTATCGTTTTCTTCCTCCAGTTGTTAAGGGATTTATTCAAAGCATAACCCGGCAAACATCGTTTGTGCACCTGGCACAGGTGAGTGAAAAATAAGAAAATATTGACATATTTAATATTTCTATGAACTGATGACGGCATTAGTTTCAAGGAAAAATTAATATCATATTTCTAATTCTTGTACAAACATTGAATACACACTGTACATATGGTGAAGTCGTATGTAATCATTATTCTTTGACGTCGACCTTGTGTCATTGAACTCCGAACCCAATAAAAAAAAGGTATTGTTCGTCATTGAATTTGACAAATAGTTAGGGTTTATTGTATATCGGCAGCACGTTAGTTCACGACAAACTCAGCAGGTAGAAAAATATGAAATAATGTAACGAAAGAGTAATTCGAGTAACATGCTGTTTAAAATATTCAAACCTTGAGATATTTTAACGGTAACATTAATTTTGCATTTTATAAGACAAAATATTTATTTAATTATGTATAATTTGATAAATAACATCAACACAAGAAGTCTTTGAAGTCCGTAAAATTAAAACAAGACCCAGTATAAGTAATGGATGTGTCATCCTGTATATTTATGTGGTGAAATCATGAGATCATTTGATGACATTGAATAATCATGTTAGCATACCTTTATGGCTGTACAAGAGCCTCTCAAATTACGTAAAACAAACAAAATTTACCGCAAACTGACTAATGTGACTTGTTTTCTAGACGGCGAGGATGGCCCTCCTCAATCATGACGTAGTGAACCAGATTATCGATGATGTCACAAATATCAACTTTCCAGAGATTTGCTGTAGAGCTGGCTTCATAGAGCCGTCTACTGCGTCAGAGTTCAAAGACGACATCATGGAGTGTAAGGAGATTCTTTCTCGTTAATTGATAACTTTAACGTCGTGGTATTTTTTTTATCTAGCATTTGATTATACTGCCCACCAAAGTCAATGAATTACTTCAGAAACTACAAACAACATAATGAAAAATCATTCTTAATCCATTATTATTAAAATAACAGGTACCTTACTAATTACATGCTGCGAAACCCCTCTCCTGTAAACAAATAAAATATATCACAAGTTATCTCCCCTTCTCTATATAACAGAATTGTACTGCACCGCAATTTGTGATAGATTGATGACAGATAGTAGGTACATTGATGTGTTTTGATCATTCATGTTTCAACGGATGGGAACATGATTAAAGCAGTTAATGTGTTAAAGGTAAAGTCATTAAATGATGTGTCTTTCGATTATTTAAAATTTTAGTTTACGAAGAATTCCAAGCATTGCTGAGTAAACAAGCTCCAATAGAGGCCTATACAGAATGGATGGACACTATAGTAGACAAATGTGTGCTACAGGTAAGTTGTCCTATAGAGGCCTATACAGAATGCACAGAGACCACGACAGACAATTGTGTCCTACAGGTAAGTTGTCCTATAGAGGCCTGTACAGAATGGATGGAGACCACGACAGACAAATGTGTCCTACAGGTAAGTTGTCCTATAGAAGCCTATACAGAATGCACAGAGACCACGACAGACAATTGTGTCCTACAGGTAAGTTGTCCTATAGAGGCCTGTACAGAATGGATGGAGACCACGACAGACAAATGTGTCCTACAGGTAAGTTGTCCTATAGAGGCCTATACAGAATGGATGGAGACCACGACAGACAAATGTGTCCTACAAGTAAGTTGTCCTATAGAGGCCTATACAGAATGGATGGAGACCACGACAGACAAATGTGTCCTACAAGTAAGTTGTCCTATAGAGGCCTATACAGAATGGATGGAGACCACGACAGACAAATGTGTCCTACAAGTAAGTTGTCCTATAGAGGCCTATACAGAATGGATGGAGACCACGACAGACAAATGTGTCCTACAAGTAAGTTGTCATAAAGAGGCCTATACAGAATGGATGGAGACCACGACAGACAAATGTGTCCTACAAGTAAGTTGTCATAAAGAGGCCTATACAGAATGGATGGAGACCACGACAGACAAATGTGTCCTACAAGTAAGTTGTCATAAAGAGGCCTATACAGAATGGACGGAAAATGTAGTAGATGAATGTTTGCTACAGGTTAGTTTACAATATTAATAAAGCGATGCACTTAGCCAACTAAAGTGTTACATCAAGAAAAAATTGTTATTTGTTTACTGTTTTGATTCAAAAGATGCTGCACAAAATAGGACAGCATGCAAGTAGTTAGTTCAGGACATTTGAAGGTTTTGAGACTTTAATTACAGCGTGGGGTTACACAAGTGTTTTCTTATAATGTATATTTAAACATCATGTTCAGTGACAAATGTTTTTTTCATATTATTTTCTACTTCCTTTCAGCCTAAAAAAGAGAGCGGAGCAAAGTTTCGTGAAAGGGCGTCCAAATTCCTTTTGCAATGGGCGATATTTGGCTCTTTGTTTATGCGTGATCTTACACTAAGAAGTGCTGCAAGTTTTGGTGAGCGTCATTCCACAATGTGGTATTTCATTCATTTTCAGTTTTGTATTAAATGGTTTACAGCATTTCAAATGTAATCAATTGGCGTAATTTATCAATAAATTCAGAAAAAAGAGAAATCTGACTTACAAAATCGTAATAAAATTATTGGCAGACTTGCAATAAACATCAATATCATCCGGCGATATTTTACATTGCAGGTGCCTTCCATCTGGTTCACATGATGTTCGACGAATATGTTTTCCTTGTAATGGAGACACAGCAAGACCAAGCAAAGGAGGATATACTACAACGAAACGTTCAGCGACACATGAAAAATGCCGGTAAGTGCTCTGTGAATGCCCAGATAACTATCTCCTTCATACGACTTGCTGTCTGCGAAAGGACTTTACAAATACGATTTTTACAGGATTACCTCCCTTGCCATATGACTGTATTCCCCTGCCGGTGAAACCGGAGGGGACTATTGTGTTTGTCTCCGTATGTCCGTCCGTCCGTCTGTCTGTCCGGATGTTGGTTTCCAGACGATAACTTGAGAACAATTTGATGGATTTGGATCAAACTTCATACAATGGTAGTTTATAAGTCAATATAGTGTGGGATTTTGTTTGGGATCAAAAGATCAACTACAAAGGTCACTGTTACTAAAAATAGAAATGGTTGCCACATTTTAGATTCCGGACAATAACTTGAGAATGGATTAATGGATTTGGATGAAACTTCATACAATGGTAGCTTATAAGGCGATATAGTGTGGGATTGTGTTTGGGAGCAAAAGACCAACTACAAAGGTCACTGTTACTAAAATAGAATCTTGTCACAATTTAGTTTTCAGACACTAATTTGAAAACGGATTGATGGATTTGGGGCTTATTAGCAGACAAGGGCTTATTTGCTGATAAATACAGTAAATTACGGCAGGGGACATGTGTTGCATGCAACTCTAACTGTAAGCTTGTTCTAATGCAAACAGCACGAACATTATGGTCTATCCTTAATGCATAGTGTCCGATATTTGTAATAGAAAGTATGTGATTTTGGTACAATATCTATATTTTCTCTTGACTGATATATATTGATGAATGTTTTCTCATCACACACCTAGACCTTGTTGTTTCTACTCCAATCGTTTTTTAAATACTATTGCCTTGTTCATGTCTTAATCATTTATTCTTTAATTAATTGAATGATTATTGAAGAATGTCATTGAACACATTTTAGAGGAAATCAACATGAATGCAAAAGTGAGAACACCTTCAACAAAGTCTCAACACAACCGCCATAACAGAAAGGAGAAAATTCATGATGATCACTTTGAAGCAACAGGTATTTAATGCTTTATATATATATAATTAAATCATGTTTGATTAAAGTGTGTATTCAGGACATAATTGGATTTCAATTGGTGTTTATTATTTTTTTAAAAATCACAAAAAGGTTCACTTAATGTTCTTCTAAAGTTTGTTTATTATTTATGGAAATTCTATATAAATCTAGCTAGAGCGATTTACAAATATTAACTCGTCCATGATCTCACCACAACAGCTTCTTTTTTATAAGCTGAATTCGACAAGGAATAAGCCAAAACAAAGGAATTCCGACCCAAGCAGAAATATAAATGAATGGCGTATTAACCTGTGTATCTTACCAATACTGACTTTAAAATCTTTGATCCAAATTGTGCTATATTTAGACCGTCTTATTTTATATTGGGAGGAGTATTTCTCCTATCAATGATACAGTAGTAGATATATGTCACTAGTGATATAGTAAAAGACACAACGACCAATTCTTTATTGATGTTTTGTTAATGGTAAACAAGCAAATATGACATTATTTTTACCTGTTTAGCAGATGAAGCTGAAACGCCTACCGCAACTGACGAAAATCAGCCAGATGTTCCAGACGCTTACACACCTTCCAGTATGACGGCATTTAGTAGACCGACACCAAATAGCAGAGAACCAGGTCATTTTTCAATAACTGACGAGAGCTGTCGGTCTAATGTGCCACACGCCTTGCCGTTGTCTCCTCTGAAGCCCTACCCGTCCATTAACACGGGGCCATATGACAGGCCCACCTATCTGCCCCAGTACGGCATACATGGCTCCTATGGGGATTATGTTAATGGGGCGTCGTCATTAGCAACCAGTAGGATTCCCTCCTTTAGCGATACACATGGGCAGGCTTTTGCGTCAGTGCCATTTAACAACAATGTACAACAGCCCATGAGTTCCTACTGGACGGATGGACGGACACATGCTGCCATTCATGACACGTATCCCTACAGCTATAACAAATTTCCCTCTACATATGATACCTACAATAAGAGTTCGTTTCTACCAAGTGGACACTATCAGGACGCCTTCAGTAGGTCAAGGTTTGAATCTTCACGAAGCTACCACTACCGTCCAACTCATGACAACTTACAAGGTGTGTGTAATGGTTATTACTTGGATTAGCATATCAAGCTGATGATATTGCATACTGAGGCTTTTTAACAAGTCTCATCCGCCGATTGGACTTTGAACTTGTTCCTAGCTATCAAGACATTCTCTTATATTATCAACCATATATTGTTACATTTACTGCTTTTGATTTAATGATAAACAACGATGATATAACACTTTGTATTTATTTACTGTTAACTTTCGCCTTTAGGAACAACCATGGTGTATTACGAGATATTGAGATAGTGACCAATCGGTATCAATGTTAGAGAAACTATTTCCAATGACCAATCAGCTTCTATATTACAGCTGTAGCCAGCCACCTGTCGATGGGAGGGTACAGCGGAAATTACATGGACATCGCACAACCTGGCTCACAATACGGACGACAGGACACTATGTTGTATCAGGACGATTTGTATACGGGCGGACTGCCGCCAACATTTTCTACAGTGGGCAAGTCGTATCTCGCCGCACCTTTCCGATGATGACAGCTCAAAATTGACTTTATTCCTACATTTGTTTTTTAATGTACATATATTTATTATATTAAAAAGTATTCTGTCGCATGATATTGTGCTTATTTCCTTGTCCATAAAAAAAATCGATGATTTCTATAAAGTTTGTCAACCTCACAAAACAAATGACCCGTGCAGCACAATAAGTTACTGATAAGATAAAGAGACATGTAATGATTTCCAATTGAACATCAAGGATATTTCACGAGAAGGACAAAATACTATGAAGTGTATAGTGCGAAGGGTGATAACTTCCATCATAGGCATGGAATACGTTTGTCGATGTTTTCCTATAACATAATGGCTTTCCACCAAGCTGTTTGGTAGTTAACGTTGTTTTTTTTTATTCCCCTTTTATCAATATTCCATTTTTAGTAAGCACCTTTATTGTTTTTCGAATCTTTGGTGTTTGTATGTAGCTGTTGTGCCATTGTTTAAGGGCTTGGTCCTGTGATTTTTAAGACTTTGATTACAAGTATAAATACCAGCAATAAAGCTGACTCAACCAGGGAGGCATTGGTGTTATCGAATCACTCGATATAATACTGATATTATACCATTACATTTCTTGTAAACCTGTTTTGTTGAATTAATCATTCAACACATCGTCAATAGTTTGTTTCATACGGGAATAATGTAGTTATGAACCAAAAGAAAAAACTAGTATGTAATAGTACACCATTTCAAATATACAAGAAGAATGAGACCAGGTGTTGCGGAAGAGTAAGCATATTCTGCTTTATAAACAGCAACCCCCATCTAAATCTTGGTAAATCCAAGTACGTAACTTAGGGATTAAAAATGAGAATCAGGTTTAGAAGAAAGAAACAAACAAACAAAAAAACAAAAAAAAAACAAAAAAAAAACCACACAGACATACTTTCGAGCACAAACAGATAGTAGCCTTCAATATACAGACAGATAATAAAAATACGTTGTGCAGCTATTTCAGTCTTACGTTTGATAATTGATATCAGGAACTTAATGCTTAGAAATCTAAGAACGTTGTGAGAAGCATCCTAATCGTTGACAAGAATGTTATGATATTGATGGATATTAAAGCACACTTGATTTTATATTGTAACACTTCGAAAAGAACACCAAAATAAAAAAAACGAGGTATGTATCCTTATCATTAACTGACAATGTGAATAATATTGTAATATAGTGATAAACCTGTATTTTGTATACTGACGTTTTAAGCGTGTTGTAGTAAACTGTGCAGAAATTAAAACCAAGACAATAGGTTATTCATGAATGGGCAGCAAATATATAGTCAGCATACGAAAAAAGAACATGAAAGGGGTCCTTTGTGTATACGGATAACAGAGAAGTGGCTTGAAAGTAACTAAGAAATAATTGCTGTAGAATTGGTCCAATGTACACGAGATGTCTATGTAGGTTATGGTATGCAGTATTGTTTGTCAACAAAGCGCTCAGTGTCTAGCCAAGTAAGAACTCCAAGTTCCACTTTATGTTAAGGAAGCACTGACATCAGCAATAATTTGAAATGAGATATCAACTATTCATATTTATATTAAGAGGATTTCGCGGCATGTTCCATTATTTAAGGCATGCGTTTATGGTATTGAATTTTCCATTCATTCCTCATTCAGTGTGAAATGATTAGGACAAAAATAAACTCATACTTCAATGAACATTTCGGTTTAACTTACAATGAATGTAGCTTACAATGAGGAAAATAAAAGAACCACCTGTTTGTTTCACATCATCACCAATATATTTCATAAGCCAATGTCAATCAATAGTGTTCCATAAAAGGTGAAAAAGGCATGTTTAATTAAATGTATCACGCGCTAGACAGCACTACTCAATAAACAAATTCTTTAATAACCGGAATAAACTATTTATCTTATTCAGCATGTGGTCTAACAGGATAACAGCGCTCCATGTTATAGCGGTAAGTTAATAGGGCGTTTTAAAATGGCAAATTGATAATCTTAGGAATGTCTGTCATCTGCAGTTTAGTCTTTAGTTTCAGATGGTAACTGAATAATGTAGAAATGTAGAAGAGAAGAATACAACATCATTTAACTAAAGCTGATATCAAATGATAACGAGCAATCGACAGTATTTCATAATGATGAGGAATTCTTTGTTGTTTTCTGCATTTAATTGACATGTCTATCTTTAAAGTATTGGCAGTATCAGACAACTTTATATTTAGATAATTGCTTTGAACCGTTCTAGCGATCGGGAGTTAAATTTCACTAAAAATATTTTCTTTTCTCAAAGAATGATTATTTATGTAGTATAAAAAGAAATGTTTCATGACTTTGTAAGAACCTATTTGTAGCAGCTTTTGTTAAAATCTAAATGGCTATGAAGAGAGGGCTTGATATAAGTTTCTGGCTTGATTTTACATCATCGATTCTCGGTTTTGACATTTGTAATTGCAGAATGTAGACTTTTGTTTTTTTTTTGAGTATACTATTAGGCTACAGGTAGCAGTGCCCGATGTTATAAATCCACCAGGACTTCTGATCTAAGTCTGCCGATATCTGTCTTTATTCCACAGCTTTTAATCATTTTGGTGTATATGATATAATCTACATCAGATTTCATTTTTATCTAGTTGTTGTTAGGGTCTAAATGTCTAGATATATAAGTGAGGATGTAATTATATAGGAATTTTTAGAAATGTGAATGTGAAGTTTGTGTATCAGGCCGTACAATAAGAACCTATTCTAGCACTTAAATTCATTGAATTTCAGGTATTATCGACAATTTCTACTGAAACTTCTCTAATTGGAACAGGTAGGTGTTTTCCACTTTAATTGCATAAGTAAGCATATCGAAATACCAGATCTCCAAACCTGCATTCGTTTTACCCGAATACTGTTCATATATAATCATGCTTCACATCATATAGTTCCTAAACAATTAAACATACGTTTTATACGTTAGAAGTTTTAATTTCGAAGTGGTTTTATTCATTCAAGACTTGCATACCCATAACGCTAAAGAGAAATTTGTGGATCCAAGTAATCATTTTTTCTATTTCTATCATTCAGACTTCTATGAATTAAGTTTGTAGACTGTCCCCATAAATCATCTAAAGAGCCCTATGAGAAAGGAATGACTTCGGTTTATATACACACACTATCGACGTATAAACAAACACTTTATTCTAAATAAACGTCTCCGTTAAAAAACAAAAAAGTACTGGTATATCAATAACATTTTAATCCTAAATCAAAATCGACTAAACGAGGGTGCAACATGAACAAAAAAGAAATTGTTTCCAAGATGACCCTTGAAATCGTACAAAGAGCATCAAGAAAAGTATACTACAACGGTAAACGTATTCTACATCCGTGTCTACGACGACCGCTATTAAATAAATGTTTTTATCGCCTTCAAATAAAAACTGCTAAACACAATAGAGCAGAGGAAAGGAATGAAGAAAACTGTACCGCTTCTAGGAATTGGCAGTGAAGCTAGCAGCATAAATAGCGTTATAATGAAATCTACAGAGTAAAATCAACATCGCTCGTGAGAAATGTAAAAACAAAAACAGACTGGGAAATATACTAACCACGACATCATTAATAGAAAACGAAATACTTTTCATGTTTTTCCAAATAAATAGTGACAGCATTTTATACGGAAACCATCAGCTAAATAGACTTCAGGTGTCCAAGTAAAACCTTCGTCAAATCAGTTATGTTACGCATTCAGAATGGGAGAGACGAGAGTAGTTGAAACGAGCTAAAGGAATTCTAAAGATGATAAACAGGTCAATTACTCTTTTCAACACAAATTCATCTCTGCATCGAATGTAACTAAACAATCAGTTAAACCTCATCATGCTGTTGTTTAGTCTGCAACGTCAAGACAGTGTCTCAACATTTATCAAAATTTACTCCATAATACAGAGTGAAAGATACGCTTACACCATTAATGTCGTGTTGTTCAATAAATCTAATAAACTTACCTGACATTCCGTCAAGAATTAGACAGGTTGTTAGGAAGAATCCTAGATGATGTTTGGTGCTGCTCTATTCATTATCAGACTAGATCGATCCTATATACTGACTAAAATTGAAAATAATTACACAGAATGAAGATTTCCGTCAATCACTTCACCTGCAACGCAACCAACAATGATCTATCGAAGATTATACAAAAGGACAAACAAATGAATATCACCACCCAATATAGGTAGAGTTGATATAGATATTAAATTTAGATGCATCATACAATCGACATGTCCTTGTAGAACTCGTTTATGATAATTAGAATCAACGTTTGGAAACCTTGGAGGCCACTGCACAAAATCAAATGTGATCAAAAAATGTCAAGATATGGAGTAACTAGCCTAATAATCAAATCAATTTAATAATTTTCATATCTCTAAATATATACAGTGTCTGTGGATGTAATTATAAATATGCTTTCCGCTGGTGTAAATGGAATATAAAATGGGTGCATGATGTTCTGATGAATTATATAAATCTCTCTCTCTCTCTCTCTCTGTTTGTGTGTGTGTGTGTGTGTGTGTGTGTGTGTGTGTGTGTGTGTGTGTGTGCGTGCGTGTGTGTCTGTGTCTGTCTGTGTAATTATATATTAAATATTAAATTGTGTTGTGGGTAAAAGCATAATAATATTTGTTGTCTATGAGTGACTACAAATTCAAATTTTAGATTTTAAAGGTGATTGTGGCTCAACACCGCAACGTGGAAAAACAGGATACTGCCCCCCTATGATTGAAAACGGGACCATTTTGAATTCAAGCAACAAATGTTTCCGCGACTGTAAATCCACCGAAGGTTGTCGGAGCTTTGCTGTGGACTTGGATCAGTATATTTGTTATCTACATCATTGTCAGAGCTTCGTGGGTTCAGACTATTACTACACTACTTATTTCCGTAAAGTGTGCTCAGGTTGGTGAAACCATGTCCTAATGATACAGTGTATTCCTTATTTACTTTATATCCCTTGAATTT